TTATTTCTATATTTTCTCCTATTTCCTAATTTAATCTAACCAATAAGTACCTATAAAAAATATTTTTATGCATATTTATTATTTTAGCAGAAACTAAACAATTTCAAAAAAATCATTCTAGTCATGTGAATTTTTTTATTTTAAATATTAACGAAATTAATATTTATAGAAATAATAACGATTTTACTTTTTCTAGTGAAACCTGCAATTTTTGTTTACCAGATTAACTACATAATTTAAATGTCAAAAATAATAAATACACTTAATTAATAATTATGGCTGATGTAAATTTTAATCGAAAACATATTTTTAAATAATAATATATATTTAATGTATGAATTTTTAAGTCAAACATTTTAATATTAACACATTTTATTAATTTAAATATAAAAATGTATATTTCAAAAATCAAATTATACGATTATTTGAAACACAAAAACTTAATTCTTAACAATACTTGTCTTTAACGTATCATATTATTTTATTTAAACGAAACCCTCTGTTTATATTGCTCTTCAACCAACTCCCTTAAAATATATTATTCTGGCATATTACCGATATCATAATACTCACTCTCATATATTTGTTATTATTTATTATTATTTTTGTTTCTTTGATTTCTTATTGTAATACTCTTCGTGATTTTTTTTATTCTTTATTTTTTGATGTTTTGGTTTTTTCTTTTTTTTTAACACGTGCTATTCATCTCATATCTGAAACCTCTTTCAATATATCTTAAAATTTATAAAAGAGTTTTAATATTGGTCATAAAACAGTAATTATTTGATAAAAATATTTTTCAAAACTTTTTTCTAAAATAGAAAGATAAAATAATCATAATTACCTATAATTATGTTTCATTTACAATAATTTTTTTAATACCTACTTTTTGGGGGGTCTGTTAAGAGTTTAAAAAGGAATACTATAATTTTTTTTTAACAACAGTTATAACAACGTTTGTTTTATATGATTATATTAAACACATAAAAATGAATCAATTTCAAAGAATAGAAAGTTGAAATTCAATCATATAAACTGAATAAAAAAATATTTATATTTATTTTTATCATAAACGATAATTACGATCGTAGAACAAACAGTGCAGATAACAGAATACATAGTGTAAAATAGTAAATACATAGTAAAAATAAATTTTTATATAAATGAAAAAGAATGAAATAGAATAATAACTTAATTAACATATAATATGTAGATGCATAAGGTACTATAAATTTAATTTAAAAATGTTACGACATATAAAAAATAATATTGTTAAGGAATCATGATAAAAATTTTAATTTTTAATTTTATTACATTTTCAGCTTGCAATTTATCAGCGATTCGGTTCCTTGTGTGTATATAAATCATAAGATAAGACCAGAGAGACTCTTAAGAAATTTTTATAAGTATTAAATTTAAAATTTCTGGACTTTAAATATTATTATTATAAATTTACTATACATCAATACATTTTCTTCCACATAGAAGAAGCTGCATTTTAGATTACTTATCAATTCTTCATATCTTATTAAATAATTATTTATCTCATCAAAAATTGAAGATAAAAACGATGTTTGAATTCAATATTATTTAGACATTTTATAAACTTAACAAATATGGAAACCATATAATAGAACCGTATTCCAATATGGGTTGTACAAGTGAAATATATTAAGTTTTTAAGCGTGTAATATTTTGAAACTCACTACAGTTTCATCTTAAAAATTCTAATATACTTGTGATTTTATTTCAAATATACGTAATATGTTTCAAAAAACATAAATCGCAAGATAGATAAACACCTAAGTCTTTAACGAGTTTAATTACAATAAGATTACATCTATTAATTACATATTAGTAATGAATGTAAGATTTAATTCTTTTAAAAATTATTTATAAGCATTTACTCTCACATACCTGCAATTTAATATTTATTGACCACAATTAACATTTATCTAAATCAGATTGCAATTTATGATAATTGCTAAGTGATTGAATTTGAGCATATAATTTCAAATCATTAGAAAATAATAAACACTTACAATGATTTAATACTTTACAAAGATAATTTATAAATATTATGGATAGGATAGAAGACAAATTTACACCTTGTGAAACTCTAAATGTTGCATACATAATAGAAGATGTTATTTTTTCTATTTTAACTGTTTATTTCCTCTTCATAAGGTACAAAAACAACAGTTTATCATTGGATTTTTAACTCCTAAAGCACTAAACTCATTAATCAATATTAAGCTGACAACACTATTAAAAGATTTTTTTTATGTATAAAGAGTCAATAGTCTCAATGTGAGACATATATATACTGATTGAGCTTGCGGGTAATATATAACATGACATACCTTATACCTTATATTATCTTCATATTATCATTCACTAACACAAAGATAAATAATTTTTCTACTTCATAAATAAGCATAAAATTGATATAGCACTGTAAAGTGTATGAACGCAAATAGTAAAACCACCATCTTGTACACTAGAACTAGTAGAAATACTACGGTCAACATAAAATATATTATTATTTTTAAAACCTAGTTCAGAATAGGCTCTATCAGTATATACTATAAAACCATGTTTCAGGCAACATAAAATGATCTACATTAATAAATGGAATATTACATTATAAAAGTCTAATTTTGGTTCTTTATCATTTTGATAGAAACTTACAAAAACAATTTTTATAGATCTCTTATTTACTCAATAACATCGTACTTATATATAAAAAAAAAAAAATAGATATAGTTACTATTTATTTTGACGAACGTAAAAAACTTTAGTTTCTTGAACTGATTTTTGATACACTATTTACATTTTTGAAAATTAGATTTTAGTTCCCATCTACACATTTTTGGCGCAATTCTCGGAGTAGTTCCATATAATTTGTATTAAATTTTTATTAAGCCAGAATTAAATCAAGCATTTTTACATTTTTTTAAGTAAACACAATTAATTTTAAATTTTAATGTATCTGATAAGTTCGATTTAGTTTTCAGATTGTAAGAGTAATGGTCGTAACTGTACAAGTTTTTCCAATATGTTTAGCAAGAATAATTTTATTGTTTTAATTTAAATCAGTTATCAATTCATAAAAAATTACAAGTGCATCATTATTAACTTTATTAGACAATTCTGCTTTATTGAAAATGATAATATTTTTTTTCTTATAAGTATTTATTAAGCCTTAAAAATCATTTCCTTGGATGACAAATTTTTAGCTAAATTATTAATCTCTTAACTTGAAATTATATCATAAAGACTATTTACTTTTGATTTGAAATTATCGTTATTATTTTAAACTATTTATCAGGATCAACAAACTCTCGAGTCTATTATTTAAAATAGAAAATTTCGTTTCATACTCTCGAAAGTATAGAAGTTGCGCTAGTGACAGTTGCGAGTCGAGAAAAAGAAAAAGTGATCGCAATACCCGAGTATCCTGTTAATCGTATTTAGTAATTTTATTACCATCTAGCCAGTATAGCCGTATTTGATAAGATAATAATAGAATATCAGCTTGCTAACTTCCATCTACAATAATATTACGACCTATATATTAAATAATATCGCTGATAAAAAATTACAAAAGTGATTATTTTAATATTATTATTATTCACCACGAGTTCAATGTAATAAGAAAAATTTACCTGAACGAAATACTCGAACACAACAAATAATTCTGGGGGCTAATATTCATAATGGGAAGATTTAAGTCTCTTAAGTTCCCTAAATATGCCTACGCTCGAGAGTTTATCGTTAATAATAGATTTAAAGTTATGGTAATAAGCCGTTTCTATTTGCTTAAGTGTCTTTAATATATCATTGAGAATAAGCTCACTGTTTTAACATGGGGATAAAGAGTAAGTTATATTTTTTTTTCAAGGAAGTATCAAAATTAGTATAATTTTAAATTTTTAGATTATTTACTTTAGTTCAAAACAAAAATTCCGTAAAATAGTAGTTCAATCACTTGAAAAATAAATAATAAAAATAAAAATACCAGCTCGTGTATGTGTAGTAGACATACAGAATAATAATCAAAATATGTTTATAGAATAATTCCTTGTGGCACGTGTAATTAACTTTTAAAACTATAGATATCACCGCACAGATATACATTATAGAATCAATCGGTGCTGAACACAATATATATACGAGTATTAAGATATTGTATGAGATAATATTATAATTTATAATCCATAAGCACAATATACGTCTTACTTACACGCTGACCAAACTGTACTGTGGCTATATATACCTACTCAACTTAAAGGGATTAAGTTAGTAAATAAGCAAGGACTTTTAAAAGTATGACTATTAATAATAATTTAAGTATTTTTGATTATATGACTAAAATGAAAGGTAAATAATGCACAATAAAACATAGGTTTTATGCTCTATAACTACTATTTTTTATATTTGTAAGCATAAAAACCTATATTTAAACATTTTAATGATAGAGTTTAAGTACATTCCCATTATTTTTTTCATTTTCAAAATTAAAATCAATACAGTAAAAAGTATAATTTATAATAATATCTAACTATTGTTTAAGAACATTTTATTTTTAGTGTTCTATTATAAGATAACGTCTAACATGATCTATCGTATGACTTAAATACATACTGTTATTCAAATCAATTTTAGAATCATTTATCTCACAAGTAATATAAATTTATTTCATGTTACTACTCGAGTGTAAATATTATAAATCATTAATATATAAAAAAAAGTTATAGATATATTTGGTTTATATATATATTTCATAAATTTAATGTTTGATTGTGGTTATTATGATTTTCTATCAAATAAATAACGTATTATTAAACTTATAATAATATAATTTATTCACTAATTTATAAATGTAATTTAAATAAGACACTTAATATTAATACAAAAACAAATATTTGTCAACTAGCATGTTTTAAATTGTTTAACAGTTCAAGAATAACTTAATTGTATAATTAAAAAAAAAAAAATTTCAAATTTAAATATACAATCTAAACGTCTTTTATCAAAAAAATTAAATACCTAAAAAAGGAACATTGTATTAGTGTTAATATTTAGAACTGTATTCGTAAGAACTTGGCTTAGAACTGTATTCGTATGAACTTGGCTTAGAACTGTAAAGAGAAGATGACGGTGATTCGTATTCATTATGAGGGTAGGAAGAAACGATTGGTTTGAATGAACCGGATGAATAAGTTGGTGACGACTTATAAGAAGATGATGGACCTTCATAAGTTGAAGATTTGTACGGAGATGAAGATCCTTCGTAAGACGATTCGCTAGAATATCCGCTAGAATAAGGAGACTTCTTATAAATGGATAATGATTCTGTTTCGTATGCAAGACTGGAACTTCCGTGTGGTGACTTGTATAGGGGTGACGATTTGTAAGGCCCATACGATGGTTTGTACGGGGACGGTGAACTATACAAAGAAGAGCTACCACTATAAGAAGGAGAGCTACCAGCGTACAGAGATGAACCACCATATGAGGGAGAGCTACCACTGTATGATGGAGAGCTACCGCTGTATGATGGAGAGCTACTACCGTATGAGGGAGAGCTACCGCCGTATGAAGAAGAGCCACCACTGTACGAAGCAGAGCCACCACTGTACGGGGATGAGTTACTGATATAAGAAGGAGAGCTACTGTACTTCTGTGGTGAAGATGGATAGGACGATTGTCCGTAAGACGAGCCAGATACATCGTATGACGATGGTTTGTAGTGGGCGGACGGGGATGGTTTGTACAATGATCCACCGTACAACGCACTCTGCGGCAAGTATTTGAATTTGTTGTAGGAGTTGTCAGACGGGTAAGAAGAGGATGGGTAACTGCTGGGTTTATACGGTGATCCGTACGACTGCTGTGCTGCGTAATATTCGCTTGACGTAGACGGGTAGGAGGAAGGCGAGTACGATGGATACTTATTAGTCTTAAAGGTCGAAGAAACGTAATTGCCTAGTCCTGGGGACGTTTGGTATGATGGCGCTGAGTAAGTTTGCGAATCAGTTTCCGGTTTGCTGAAAGACACGGGTCTCGATTTGTAAGGTGCCGAGGACAATGCGCTGTACGAAGCGACGGGCGGTGAGCTGTAAGCAGGAGCGGAAGCGGATTGACCGGAACCGTAAGCAGTCGACGGACCGGCACTGTAAGCGGCAGACTGGCCGCCGGCATTGTAGGTGGATGATTGACCGGTACTATAAGCGGACGATTGGCCGGCGCTGTAAGCGGGCGATTGACCGGCGCTGTAAGCGGGCGACTGACCGCCGGCGCTGTAAGAGGACGACTGACCGCCGGCGCTGTAAGAGGGCGACTGGAAGCCGTAAGTCGTGGCCGGATAGGTGTTGTAAGCCACCGAAGTCAGCGGAGCGGTGTAAGCAGCGGCTGACGAGTATCCGTACGCTTGCGGTTGTGGATAGAACAGCTGGTTGGCGGGTACCACTAGAGCACCTATAGGAGCAGCCGCCGGGACTGCAGCGTATTGACCCGCTCCGTATTGGCCTGTGGCGATCGGAGCCGCTGCGGCGTACTGGTAAGCTACAGCGCCGTCCTGAACGGCCGCCGCACCGTAATCCGTGGCCGGAGCATAACCACCGACGTAAGAACCGTAACCGTTGGCTGAGCTCCGTTTATCGATTGGCGTTTCTGTTGGTTTGTCTGCTTCTTTTACAGTGACTGCTGCGCAGCACAAAATCGCCGCCGCCAAAAACTGTAAAACGAAAAACCGATCGTTCAGTGTTTACTCACAACAATGTACGTTTATAGCATATCCACTGCTCCCGTTATAGAATTAGACGAGGCTCACGCCTCATGATAATAATATCATTATTATCGTATTAATATTAATGTTTAATATTCGTTATTTTTATTCGTGTGTACGTTTACCGAGTCCCATGTCCATAGACTGTATAATAATTACTTGAGAAAAAATTGACGTTTCGTAACAACGATAATTTTAAGAACCAAAATGTAACGAAGAATGGTAATTGCTTTTAAATTAGACCTTATAAGATACTATTTTAGACTATTGTCTATAATAAAATACGACACAATAATTGAAATATTAAAAGAAAAATAGGGTAAAATAGACAATTTCTCTGCTGTTTTACAATTGTCTGATTCGAGTGTATCTGATCATTAATTATAATTGATGAATTAAATTTTAATTCAATGATAAGTCATTGTTCCGATAAAAAAAAAACAATTTTTAGCGAAGACTATCTAACATTTTAGTAACCAAGATTATCAAACAATTATTTAAATAATATGAAACATTTAAAAAAAACTTTGTAAAATTTTTTTTAGTTTTCCTTTCCTATCTTAAAAACTAATAAAATGTATTAATTTTATCTCCTAAAAATTAATAACTGCTACAAAAAAATGTCCATCGCATTTTATAAAATGCGTCTTTGGACATAAAAAATATAAAAATAATCATTGTAAAATCAATCAATTTATCAATTTATCAATTTATTGATACGTATAAAATTTATATTAATTTTTCTTAATAATAAATACCTAAACAAATAATATATCTTGCTATTTAAATTTTATTTGACATCAGAAACTTGATAAAAAAAAAATTAAATTATTAAATTATGTATTATTCAAAACTTTATATGACGTAGTCCACTGATTAAATACTTATTTAATTTTAATGTATTATACAATATTGTAATATTGTAATCAGTCATTAGTTAAAATTAATCAAAATAAAACTGGCAACTTATGTAAAATGTTGTGCAGATCATTCATGATATTATTCTATAAAAAAATAAAAAAACATTTGGAAATGTTTATATTTATATAGACATATCGTTAGAAGAAATAAAAATTAAATCAAATTTATAGTATGCTAAAATGTTGACATATTTATAAATAGTTACCAAATTGTTATAAAAATGTGTATATAATACGATTAATTTTCATTAAATTGTACCTAACTTGATAATAAAATTGCTCACGTCATAGTCGTTCACAATATTATAATGGTATAAAATATTACGCAAACCATTTTATTGCATTATTTGAATTCAATAGTAGCTTGTTATCCAAATCAGTTTACTATATTTCAAATTCCATTCATTCAAAGATGTGTTACACTAAGACTGGAACTTTCTTTTACTTGGAAACTCATCAAAGGTTTTATAGCTATAGAATTGCATTACGTAATCGTTTAAGCAAAAACAAAAAATAAAAATAAAAAATAGAAACCATTCAGTTTTTTCTTTAGCCAACTAATAACTATTCCGGTTTATTAAACGAAATGCAAATGTTATTCCAGTCGCGTAAACATAAAGCTTTAAACCTTTCACTGATCGATTTTAACAAACAAAATCTCTAAGTAAGATAAACATATATAATATTATGTATAGATTGTTGTTCGTTAACGTGTTAACACCGCCAAATCGTTTTGTTTTTCTAATAATAGAAAGTATCTCATAATAGTAAGATATTTCACCGTATACCATATTTTTGTTACACAAATTTACATAACACAATTAATGATTTGTTTAACTTTTACAGTGATAGATATAAATCAAAAAATTGTATTAGCAATATTTATTTATTTTTAATAACCAAACAAACTTTTTCTTAAATTTAATTGCTTATAAATGCTTAAACTAAAACAGTTTAACATGTGATATTAATACTTTATTTTAATATAAAATATATTCATTAAAATCATTAGCTTAAAAGTTCAGCATTTGGTTTGTTTCTCGTTATAAATAAATTAATATAGTTTTTCAATTACGAATATTGTTAGTATTGTAACTATAGTATGACTAAAATTATACAATTTCTGTTTCTAATTAAACTTTCTATTTGTTATGTTGTTTTTTTTTTAGTTTTTACACTATTATTAATTATATTGTACTACTAAAATAACTACTCCCTTACCTATCTACCTAACTGATTATGTGCATAACTTGACTAATGATATATTATATTAAGTACCAATGTCTATAATCAATCATCTCTCGCGAATTTGCAACATCGTGATTTTATTATACGTTTTCATCTATAAACCCATTAACGTACTTAATGTAACGCTCTTAAGTATAAACAATTGTTATGTTCAAAGATACTTTCGGACTTTCTTCTTTCCAATTGACTTGATTATTTATTCAATTAATTGAAGCTACTAACTATGATGTTAGACATAATGTAAACATTTTATTTTTATTTTTTGTACCCTATTCGTTTTTTAGTTATCTATGTCTAGACAGTATCAATTTCAAAAAGATATACGTTTTCTAATTGCTTTAATCTCACTTTTTACTATTTAGTATTTTTGAATCATATTTCTATTATAAAATTAGTTACAACTTTTAAAATATATAATAGATTTCTGTGTGTTTTTCAGTAAATATTTAATTATTATTTAAAACCATTAACATATGAACGGTTAATTTATTTATTAATATTCATTAAAAGTAAACGGTACATATTTTTTAAGAGTCAAGTTAGTTCTATACTATAAATATAGTGTGTATATTTTAGAATATAGCAAATTTGTAGTCAACAGTTCTAATTTTTTGTATAGTTTAAACACTAAAGTAAATTGATCTATTAACATACTTACGTCAGAATTTTGTAATATTTTAATTTTTAGTAACGACTGATGAGTATGTAAAAATATTACAGTTTTAAAATGACTATAATTCTCTTAAAAATTGAAATATTGTAATATAAAACAATGTAAGACCTAAACTACATGTGCAGATGAGTTTAAAATACTATTTTTAACTAAACTAAGACATAATCTACATTTCAAGTATTCAATATTAGTCTAATAATTATGTGTTCATGGAACACATACATTTTAGCCTATGCCAAATTAGTAGAATTGTTTACTACACAGTTAGGTAGTAATTAATCGATAAAAATGTCACTTTGTCCCATATTTTAGTGAAAGTTACAAAGAAAATTACTTCAAATAAATCAAATAGGTTTATATTCTTACTGATTAGATATTTATTTTTAAGACGTAAGAACTTTTAAGATAATTAATTTTAATCAAATATAGTCTATATTTATCCATGTTTTAGAATATTCAATAATTAAATATTAAATTTGATATTGAAAAAAATTAATGTACGAGTGTCCTTAATGGGCTACTTTTTTCCTTAAAATCTGTATACTTATTTATAAATGTGTTTTTTTTTTCAATGTACAATGCATTTTAATTGTATCTCATATACTTATTTTCGTTGGTGCGTACAAACTGAAAGAATGTAAATCAAAAATCATCTTAAACGCGTGGCTGTGAAACAGATCTTAGGTATAGATTATATATTCTTATGATATTATATATATATATATATATATAATTATTTTAAAAGAAAAAATGAAAACAATGCTTTCCTTAGATTAATTAGGCAGTAATGAATAAAATGCAATAAGTTTATTAGATAAATAACATAAATATATAGATAGGTAATGAATTAATAATATAATACTTATAAACATCGAAATTGGAGATAAGTTCTTTAATTAAATATATTTACTCTTATTATGACGTAGTCACGTGATGTATTATTATACCTATAATTTATTTTATAATGAATGTGCTACTAAATTATTAATTTCTCTTAAATAAATTCCAACAAATAAAATGTTACTGATACCTATCTATGTACTAAAATATAGTTATAGGTATCCGATAACATAGATCATGGCGTTAAACAATGAATAGAAATCAATAGTATACTCAGATTTTGTAGTGATTTTAATTTACAGTAACGAACATTTGATCATAAAAACAAATGAAAAGCGCATAAATTTGTAAAATCGTAAAAATCGTGATTTCTTAGATGCTAGATAAAATGCGAGAAGAACATTCAACAATATCTCTTGATACGTACCCCATACATAAAAAGTTATTCCCGTTCAGCATACCTACCTATAGCTTATGTGATTAATTATAATATATAGTAAGGAGTACATCCTTAAAAGGGTGTTTTGAAAATTATGTTTTAAAAACATAATGAATACTGGTTGTGGTTATTTATATAGTATTTTGAAGGACTTACCGGCGTTATCTTCAGCAACATATCGTCAACGAGCGGTGAAAATCGTAATCCAATGAAAAAATAAAAACGAATAAACTCAAAAGAATAATTGTGATGTCGCTGTGCAGCGATGATATTATATTATGTGGTGAACAGTCTTCTTCTTGCTGTCGGACGGTCGGCAATATGAATCGCACACCGTTCTGCTCGGGTCCGCGTTATATATAATATAGCGGTAACCTGTAGGAAGGTACGAAACGCCCCGCCCGCCAAGTCTGAGTCGGCCGATCGGTCTTGCACCGTAGTCCGCACCTCACCGCGCCCGTATCATGTTATAAAGACAATCGCATGTTATATATTATAATAATAATAATGTTCTGCGTGTGTAATAGCTGCGGGTATATATGTGTAGGTACCTATTAAGTATTATGATATAGGTACGTCTTATACTTTTACTCTCGGCCGCCACTGCGGATATAAGCACATTCAACGTTGTCGGTTACCCTTGGCACCCGGCTGAAGCTGCTGCCGATGAACTTGTCCTCCGCAGCGGCGCGACAACGATGATACGAAGGTACTGCGATAATAATATAATATTATAATATTATTATCATATAGTATATACCTTAGGTCGTCACGTAATGCGCGGCACGCGATGACCGCCGCCCGCCCACGCATGCTCCTGTTCCGGTTCGGTTGGTTTAGTGAGATACTACTATGCTAGTAGTATTATTTAATATTTAGCTATTTATTTTTTATCTCTGATTCTTTCTTTTCTTCCGCAGGCCCAATGTACTATCACGGCCGAATACATTTCGCGCCGTTAAAAAATATTATTATTATTACTATGTATGTTATTGTTCTACTGGAGGCATCAGAGTGTAATAACATTATATAGGCACGAATATTTTTTATTACTCGGGGTTATGATATATTTTAATGAACAATATAGTCTATAGGCCTTGCGAACAGACAGACCAAACACGCCCCCTTCGATATTATAGTCGTGTAACTATGTGTAGTAAAAGTGTAGCATAACAGCCGATAACTTTCGATGTTCGGTCTACACAATAATTGTGGTCCAGATCCGATTGCTGCACATATTACGTCATTGGCACACGATAATCCCTTCGTCTAATAACTAACAATCCAAAGAAAACTGACGAATTTCCTGTAATAACGCAATCTGTGATGTTACTCGAACATTTTCACATCAATTCAGCGTGCGTGCTTGTCGACCACAGGCACATAAACTAGGTAGTATCTGACTATTTACTTTTATTGCGCAATTTTATGATTATTGTAGATATCCGGAGCTAAGTAGTCTGAGGTCGAATACTAATATAACATAGTCCGTCTATTTTGAAGACTTGATTTTTTCGATTTTATAATCGAATATTAATTGTTTGATTTTGAATAAACAATATAAAAAATAATAATTTAAATTTACAAAAAAACTGTTAACTATTTTTACCACGTGAAAAATTGTGAATATTCGCATATTTAACAAAACCTAAATTTTAAGACTATATGAAATATAACTTATTCTGATTTATGATTTAATATTAGAAATTCATAGAACTTTTCTATTTTTGTTTTACATTGAACATAATTAATAAAAGGCGGTTCATTTTTATAGTCATGACTCATGATCATTAATAACTGATAATCATTGATTTGTATGTAAACTAAATATTAATTAAATAATGATCAATGGATTTGTTCCCATGGATCTATATAATAACAATTATCCTAATAGCACAATATTATTCATGACTGAAAATATACCTTAACAGGTAAACATACACATAAGTATATAACTATTGATAAGAAAGAAAAATGTGGAATTTTACTGCAGTACCTATACAACTGCATTAAAAACCAATAAATTAGAGAAGGAAATATATGGATATTTTCAATTTAAAATTTAAAATTAATAAAAATATCGATTTTGATGTATGTATATATTTTTGCAATAATTAAAATATTTTTATTAATACTCTATTACAATAATAACAAAAATCAAAAATACTATCTACACCAAAATAATATATTAATTTATATTGTGTATTTATAATAATAAATAATTGATAATATGATTTATTAATTAAGTAAAATATATTTGTATACTTATAATGTATAAACTAATCCAGCAAACGTTTTACCTTCATACATATATATTACATAATCGTGAATTCACACACAAATTCCATCGAATAAAATCCTAAATCTTTCAATTTTTTGAACAGTATTTGCAATTTATTAAATGTAAAAACCAACAATATCTGAGTAGTTAAAATATAATTTTTTTTTTTTTTTATATTTTTTTTAATATTATTTTTTTTTTTTTTGAGGGATTTTACTTCAGGATATTTTGTTTTGTAATTTAAATTGACTTTTGAGATATAGTAATTATTATATTTGCATAAATTTTACTTTTCAATTTTTTTTTACAACTAATGGTAGTAAATTGTAAGTTTTGAAAATTTATTTTTACCATTTTTTTAATGATTATCGCTTTATGGTATCTATTAACTGTAAATAACCAACATTTTCAACTGAACTTAAAATGAAGAATAGTTAAATGATTAACCTAAACATTAAAATAATTATTTGGCAATTTTACTAAAAATTTATTATTTAAAATCACAAAGATCTATGCATTTATTGCGTTCTAAAGTAAATAACTTGTCACTGAACATGTTTTTCTTTTACTATTTTTGTATTATAACTTATAAGGTTATCTATTATATGTGACTGGTAAGTAAAATGAAATACTTGGTGGCCGATGTTTTGTATATCCTAGTTGCATACAGAAACGTTGGTAATTTGTTGATGGAATTTCACTGACTGTTGGCACATGAAGGTTACACGTAAGATGTCATTAGTCATGGCCCATGGTACTCTAGCCATCAAGCATAGAATGACGTTACAGAAAGCTTAAAATGTTTTAATATTTAATAATTTAGTGACACCACATTACTTTTTGGTGATTATGTTAACTATTAGTAATAATTATATAAAAAAAAGAATATATATTTTTAATTTCAATTATTTTTTATTTTTGATCTACACAATTAAACGATACAGAAAATCAGCTTAAAAAACAATATTTATTATCTTATAAAACCAATTTCTAAATTATTTCTTATTAATCAATAATTATATTAAAATATATAATACCTATTCGGTATATTAATATAACATACATACAGTAGCTTATCGTAGATATTTATTTTCCAATTTATTATTACGTTGATCGCTTGTCCGTATTTTTTATATAACATTTTTTAATGAGTAATGACTATATTTTGTTATGTACTTGCGTTTTATAATTTTCACTCTGACATGTGTATACATGTCGTATTTCGTCAGGTTTTTAGGGATGACTAATTATTAATAGTTAGTAAATTTATTATTTCATTTGTCATCAGACAACCTAAAATGAACAATTAAATATATGTATATTATTATTTAAATGGTCTACATATAATATATTTTAGATAAATACGTTTAAATTAATATATATTGAAAACTATAATACTGAAAACATATTCTTGATTAATATCAATATCTTTGGAAATTTATGATATTATAAGTTGTAACTATGTACTTTGTGTTTAAATTGAAAAAAGCTTAAGGGGATTTGAAGCGGCGATTTTCTGTCTTTGTCTAACACACGTGTAACATAGAATTATAGATGTATTCTATTTCCAACGTACTGATTGATATAATTAAGCGATAAGAATTATGAAAACAGATATGAATTTTTCGTCGAGTCTACTTTAGATCAATTTCCTCACATTTTTGATATTATCCCCTCCCCCTAAAATCCTAAAAATGATATATTAAAAAATTGTCATATACAATTTTTGGAGAAGTTTAAATCAAAAATCAAAAATGTGAGAAAATTGATCTAAAGTAGACTTGACGACAAATTCATATTTGTTTTCATAATTTTATCGCTTCATTATATCAATCGGTACGTTGGAAATAGAATACGTCTATAATTCTATGTTACACGTGTGTTAGACAAAGACAGAAAATCGCCGCTTCCAATCCCCTTAAATTATAATTATACATTTTATTTTAGTTTTAACAATGAAGTCATTAATTCAGTCAATATAATATCTATCAAATAAATACTACCTATATTTTGTAATTGCGGAACGTTACTGTGCATACCTATTTATTTCCATTTTTTATTTTATATTGATACTATTAAATTAAACATTTCTATTAAAATTTATATATAATTAGGAAACGTACAAACACCCCCATTGGTATTTATAAGTGAAAGCGATATTCATACTCTGATATATTCCATATATTCTTCGTATTAATTGCACGTGCATTGACAATAATTATTACTGAAGTGGGTGCTATATTTTTTCTACTTTCGCGATGAGCGTATTTCCATGATAGCCAATTTCATTTCACTTTTTGAACCTGTTTTTTTTTTTAACGGTGTGGATTGACTAGTTTAAACTAGCTGCAGCAGTCGTCCTTCTGTGGTCTTCAGCTCTGGGCCAAATTCAACCGGACGACACGTAAACGGTAAACATAAAGGAAGTAAACACTGCCCGTGAAAGTCTTAGTGTCAATGAATAATTTGCATACCTAGATTTTGTAAAATAGTACAAATATTGTATATTAAATTTTTTTTTTCTCTAATTCAAACGATCATTGTTAATATCCTTGAGTACAAGATCATGTCTATAATATTCAAAGTTTAAACAATTTCAACTTCAAATATACAATCATACTTAGATAGATAGACATTTTATACATTTTAAATAAAATCATGTTAGATAATTGAAATAATTAAATCAAAATATAAATTATACATACAGTATTATATAGTTTTTAACTCTCGAAATGTGATATTTATAAGATTTAGTTATATATACATAAAATATAATAATTTTTAAGATGGTTTTATAAAGATAAATAAGTTGCTGATCCTATAATTAGATAAGAGGTATTTTGTATATATATATAACAAATAATTATAATCTTGTTGAATATATTTACCCGTATGTTTTCACTTTTTTTGAAAACATTTGTTGACAGAGTAAAGAGAAAAAAAGTAAAATTAATTGTAGGTAAACGTGTGTATTACGTATCAAAAATATCGTATCGAACATTTCTTGTAAGCCCCTGTATGCATTATAAACATAATGTTAACATTATATATTTACATCAATATTA